AGTTTAAATATTTGCATTTACTTCTGTTTTCTCATAATTTTTCTCACATCACACAATCTGACAGAGAAGTAAACGAGAATGTTGATTTTCTTGTACACCTCGACTTTGTTATTTCCCTAGACCAGCGCTCCCATAAACTAGGGGTGTACTACATAGTTACAGAATTAGTGAATTAATTAATGCATGAGGAAATGAAAACAGTGGTAAAAGAACTTCTTCATTGCTTTTTGGACAGCTTTTTTAAAAATATATATTTAGTACAGGGATTATCGGGTTTCACCACACAGATTGGACTCGTGGTGATCCTCCTGTTTTCAGCCTCCCCAGCACTGGGATTACAGGTGTGTGCCACCACGCCCAGTCTCAATCACTGTTTCAGGGTGCCTCACTGGCAGGGCCAGCATTTGCCTAAGCTGGTGCTTTAGTCTGCTGAGCTATCTGGCCAGCCTCTTCATTGTTTTTTGATTGTTTGAGGTTCCCCTCCTTGTTGAGGGCGATTTGTGAAGGGACAGGAACACTTCCTGCCATGCCACAAATAAGAGAGCGTTGTTATGGTTTGCATTTAGATGTCCCTGTAAAGCCTCCTGCAGTCATAGGGCAGGCTTCTAAGGTTTGTGATTGATTCCTGCGTCAATGTGGGGATGATGGGAGTGAGTGCTACACCCGCGCCGGGGCAGGCAGGCTGCACACAGTGTCAGGGACAGGGAGGCTTGCTGGCTGCTCCTCTCTTTCACTCTTGCTGTTCTATCTTCTGCCACCATGAACAGCTGCCCCCTGCCATGTGCCTCTCTGCTTTGACATCAGTTAATGGCTGAAACCTCCACAAACTGTGTGCTAGATACACTTTTCCTTTCTTATTTTGGGTGTTGGGCATTTTGTCTCAGCAACAAGAGAAAAGAAACCAAGACAAGGGTGCACAACCCTCAGACCTGCACAGAGCCATCCAGGCGCCAAGTACTTGTGGCCTGCTGCTGTCCGCAGTCAGCCCTGGGGGCCAGGATGGTGCTGAGGCTCTGAACAGAAGACCCTTCCCGGGACTGTCTTCTCCTGTGAGCCTGCCCTGGGACTGTCAGCTCTGTGCACCTTTGTGTTTCTCTGCTCCATTGTCTCTCGCAGGACACAACACTTGTGGCTCTATCACCAGCCACACTCTACATGCAAGTAGGAGTGTTAGGCACATACATCTGTCTCATTTAAGCCAGTTAGCTAAGCATTATCAGATTGCACAATGGGTATCCCTGGTGGACTCTTACTGCTTACCCAGCTCCTCTGGGCTGTTCTGTGCGCTCTATACTGCAGATACTACCTTCCAGTTCTAAAGGGCTAGAGCCACCTGAATTCTGACTGGGAGTCCAACATTGCAAAACAGAAGGCAAATTGCAAACCAGCCAGTCCCAACCCCCAATCTCCAAACATTCGTTGTATCTAATTCTCACACTCATGGCAATGTTTCTCCTACCCCACCACGTTTGGATTTGAAATATCAACTGATATATGAAAGGGTGGTGGCCAGCTCGTGGACTTCTGGGGAAAGGACTGAGTCCCGAGGGCGCTCCCTTCCCTCAGTGGATCGACCCAGTGAGACCCTAATGCAATCAGATCCTACGGGGAGGTGGAGGAGCCAGAGGTGGCCTTGGGTGAGGCAGTGGGTGGAGGCCGGCCTTGGGGACCAGAGCTGCTGGCTCACCCACTCCTCTCTGTCTTCCTCCTGCTCCCTCTGCTTTCCGCATGTCCAGTGTGACCTTTCTGCCTCAGCACAGGCCTAAAGGCACTGGAGTCAGCCAACTAGGGACTGAACCTCTGACACCATTAGCCAAAATGAGTCTTTCCTTTAAGATGTTCTGCTCAGGTCTTTTGTCACAACAATGAGAAGACAACAAACCCAAGTGAGCCAGCCAGCCCACACTCAGGTTGGAGCTAACCAGAGAGCACCGTGGTAGCCCAGAACCTGCCAGGAACACTGAAATGACACAGTCTTGACGTGGGTGAAGCTGCTACCCTTCCTTGTCTGGTCCTTCCCACGGGATGCACCGTAACCTGACTGCCAAGCGCTTTGTCCTTGCTCCTTTGGCCTTGGGACTGGTGCTGGCACTTCCCTGTGTGTCTTGACATGTCATGGAAGGTAACAGCTTCTCCTGGGAGCTCTCGTGTCGAAAGTCTATGTGTCTGTCATCTCAGGATTTCTAAAACAAAATTCAGGGCCCATAGTAAGAAATTGCAGTTCTTGCAAGGCTAGTAAGATGGGGATGACCAGGTACCAGTTATGCACTAGAGAGACGAGGAGCCAGTATCCAAACAGACATTTAACTTCAAAACTAGTTCCCTTGATCACAGCTAATCTATTTTATGTGTGACTTCATGTCTCCAAGTAGGGTTAATTGGGGGCCACCTCTCTTAGTACTTGGCCAAAGTGGTTCATCAAAAATTACTGATGTCAAACAGTCCTACCCACTGTGAACCTCAACTCTTTTTCCAGGTTCAGTGAGGGTTATCCTTGTACTCTACAGGTGCGTAGAGTACAAGGCCCACGACAGAGCCTTACAGACAATCCCAATTGCCTCGAAGCTGCACACTAATGCAGACCAACACGTAGATCAGAGCTTGCAGTTATTTCTCTGATTTGCCATCCTCGAATTCAGAGTATTCACTCTCAGACACTAGAGCAGAAGTCATACTAAACGGAAAGACACACAGGTCTGCTCTTCAGGTCTCTGGATGCCTTCAGTTGGGGGCAGATGGCCAGGCATAAAATGAAATGCTTGGTCTATTCCTTCTCAAGAGTAGAACCTGCATTATTGGGGCAGCGGATTCCCTGCTTCAGCCCATGTCTGCCTCCTGTTTCTTGGTCTCAGCCATTCTTTTTCTGTCTGGAATCTCAGAGCATTTTCCTTTCTTTAGTTCTCCAATAATTCTTCCTGCCCCCAACCATCTTTCACATGCCGATGGAGCAACTGCGCCCCTCTCCTCTCCAGAGAAGGAACTGAGGTACAGCAGGGCCCCACAAATGAGCCCCAGAGATGCCTGGCTTGTGCTTCCGCATGGGCAGACTGCACCGCTGCCACCTGCTCACGTCCAAAATACTCAGCAGCTGAAAAAATCTGCGGACATGGTCTCAGGTGCTCAGCTTTGCACAGGCTAAAGCACAAAAGGGAGCCTTTCTAATTGCTGACCCTGGGCCAGGCATAACGGGGTGGAGAGGCTTATGTGAATACAGAATTCAGGCTCAATGTGAATACATAAAATCGAGGTGCACTCAACATGTGCCACTGGAAGCTGGTGTGTGAGCCTCAGATTCATTCCTACCCCTTTTTCTGGAGGTGTGGTCTGGCTGTGTAGTCCAAGCTGCCCTCGTACTTGCAGCAGCCGCTGCCTCAGCCTCCTAGTGCTGGGAGTATGGACCGCCACACCTGGCTCATCCTCAGGTTCCGACTGGAGCTACTCTGGAAACCCGTAGCCTCTCTGCATGCTTGCATCCCCCAACCTGTAACCCGGGAACTCGGACAGCTACTGCACTGCAGTCCCGCCTAAATTCTGCCTGTGCTCTGGAAAGGAGCTGATCTAATAGTGCTCTCCCCGTAGCTCACTGGGCCTGTGCTGAGCGTGCTCCTTCCCTAAGATGATCTAATTAACATTTTTAAGCATTAACATTTTATGCGTACTAGCTGTTTTTCAGTGGGTGCTGGGGCAGTGTCTGTACTCTGCTCTCCTGAGAGCAGGTAGTACCTCTTAGTACCCTTAGGCACAAAAGTAATAAGCGCTAAGAGCTTAATGCTTATTTTTGAATTACATTTCATTTTGCCAATTGTGCAGAGCCCAGTCTAATTCAACAAAAGGGTCTGAGAAAGAATGCAGTAGAGCAGATGCACATAGCAACCATTAAATAGGAGGATGAGAGCCATGCAGGGAGAGGCACTTTCTGCCAGGGAGAGCAGGAGCAAGGGTAATGAGGGGCCCAAGGAGAGGGCGCTCTGGCTGGGGACTGCAGCAGGGAGAGCCTGAGAGCCCGAAGCTATGGCCTGGAGAGCACCACTCCGTCCCCAGGCAGCGCTGTCACGGTGCCCTTCCTGTGATCATAGGCCTTAGACCTATCTTAGGAAGATCTTGGTCCTACCACTTCTTAGCATCTCCAAGTGTTTTTCCCTGGATTTGCTTTTGATTAGAATAAGATGCATGAGTAATGAGGGCTGTTTTGCATGTTGTTCCAGAAGAAATTCAGATTTGCCAGTAGCGGGGGCTGGGGGAGCAAAGGGTCTTAAAGGTAGGTCAGGGGTGCAGGCGTCTTCCTGCACAGGCCCGAGACCTCAGCTGCCTAGGCGCCAAACACAGGCGGTTCTGCCGTCTGGGTGGGAACGTAGTTCAGTGCTCAGGGCGGGGTTTGGCAACTTCAGCGGCCGCACGCGAGAGGGAAGATGCGGGTGTCAGCTTTCCATTTGCTGCTTCTCCCCGCGCCCCCTCCCTTTCGCCCTCCCTACAGCTCCCCACCCCCATCTCAGGAACCCGGAGCCTCAGAGTGGGGCGAAACATTCTGGGCTTGCCTGGGTTTCGGGAAGCGTGGAGCCCGGTGCGGTTTCGGAACCAGCCCTGCAGCATCCCCAACCCTGGGGAGCGCTCATCCGGGGCCCGGCGCGGCGGGGGTTAAGGTGGGCGCAGCGCCCCGCGCCCGCACCCCGGGAAGAGCGCGAGTCCGCGCCGCCCGCCCGCCCGCGCGCTCCAGTCTGCACCCGAGAAGCGGCGGTCAGGGCTGGAGCCGCTGCCATGACAACCCCCGCGGCCCGAGCCCGCGCGCGTCGGGGCTGCTCCCGGGAGGAAGGCGGCGCGGAGGCCGGGGGCGGCCGCTGAGCGGAGCGTGGCGTCCGCGCGCTCGCGTCCCAGCCGCGTCCCGGAGGAGGCGGGGGCGCCGCAGCGCCCAGTGCGCCCAGAGCCTGCGCCGGGCGGCGCCCAGCGGGCTGGAGGACGCGGCGGCGGGACCAGCGCGGAACTTTTTATCGCCTTTGGGTTCCAGATGCGAGACTTGGGGCTGGTTTATAAATACATCCGTACATGTGTGTGAGCTAATAAAACATTTTGTCTTCTCCTTGAAGAGGGAGCTTTTTATGACAGCTCCTTGATGTCAGAGCCACTTGCCGCCTTCTTTGGGTTATAAACTTTTGATGCCAGACCTCTGCAGAACGTGCCCAACTGCATCCTAAAGTAGTCTCGGAGAGAGGCGGAGCGCGCACTGTGACCTTCATCCCGGCACCTTCTTCCTCCTCTCCCTCCCTCTCCCAGGGGGAGCGTAGAGGAAGCGCCTTCCCGGACGCAGGAGGGGGCATCTGGTTCTGCCCGGCCGGAACGCTGAGGCAGGACGGGGAAGAACACTGGGCTCCGGAGGGCTGGACCGCGGCTCTCCCGGCTCCCGCCGCGCGCGCTCTTCCCGTCCTCTGCGCGCCACTTCCTGAGCCCGGCGGTGCGCGCGTGGGAGCAGGACCTGCGCGGCGCCGAGTTCTGGGAAGTTGCTGCTGTCGAGGATGGGGGTCTGTGGGCACCTGTTCCTGCCCTGGAAGTGCCTCGTGGTCGTATCTCTCAGGCTGCTGTTCCTTGTACCCACAGGAGTGCCCGTGCGAAGCGGAGATGCCACCTTCCCCAAAGCGATGGACAACGTGACGGTCCGGCAGGGGGAGAGCGCCACCCTCAGGTAGGGAGTCAGCCTTCGGCGGGGCGCTGAGCCCCTCGGAAGAGGTTTCCTAGGGGTGGGGGGCCAGGGCGAGAGACCCAAGCAGGCTTGTGTGAGGAGTCCTGGCACATGGGCGAGGGCCTTTTGCAGGCCCACGACGTGGTCGCTTGCGTTCGGTGGTCGTTGCAGACACCCATTTGCTCCGACAGCTTTGTCCTTTGGTCTGGCTTTTCTGACCTGTGCTTGTACCAGTGAACCTTGAAGTCCGGCTTTGAGGCTCCCTGTGTTTGTGGGGCCCTGACTAGGTTAGATTTACTCTTGCTTGTCCACCATGATGAGGCCTGGAAAGGGCGGGTAGCCTGGGACCCTGGGTTCTGTCACCCAGGCCGGAGGCCTGTGGCAGGGCGGTACGGTGCTCAGGATTGCCAGGCTCGTGCCTTTCGGCAGGATACCTAACCTGTGAGGCTCTGGAGTTAGCAGCACCAGGCCACAGCCTTCTAGGAGTGTGCTCAAGACGCAGCCAGCGTGCCAACCCGGCATGGTGCGCCTGGGGCTCCTGCTGTAAATTATGAGAGCCGTTTTAGTTTTGCAGGCTGGGGCCAAGGAGAGGAAACAACGCCATTGCTCCCGTGTGAGCAGCACAATAGGGAAGCGTTTTGTTTTACCTTAATGAGTTAGAGTCACTTTCGAGCTGGAGGCAAAGGGTGGAGATTGTTGGAATATGCACCTTTGGGGACTAGGCCTGCTGCAGCAGAGACTTTAATAAAAATGCAGCCACCACTTTCCACCAGCTCAGCAGATATCATCTTTTATCCCTTTAATGAGGCAGTTCTGGTCCTAGGAGACACATTCAGGGACGCCCTAGCTTAACTGTGTCTCACAATGAACACGGGTTGAATGTGTTTGCCCTGCCTATGACTTTGATGGTTACCATGAAAATAAAACATTGTGACCCAGATTCTACAGCCCAGATACCTAGCTTCTACAAGGAAAGAGTGAGGGTGGGGCTTCCTTCCTGTGCTTTCCTGGGTTTTCCTGGTGGGATCTCTCCTGCAAGAGCAGCCTCTCCTGGCAGAAGGGGTGGGAGCTGCTGGGGTGCCTGTATTCACTTCCTGAACCCTGTGGTGAAGTTTGGGTTCTTGCTACTTGAGGTGGTTCTCAGCGGAGTCTCAGTCTGAGCCCAAGAACAGCTCCTGGATTTCTCTCTGCTGGTGCTTGGAGGCTGGAGGATGGAGAAGAAAAGAGAACAGAGATGTCTCTTGCACTTTGGGTAGGGGCCCTGTTCTCCTGCCCCTGTGGGCACCCCTTAGCCTACCCTAGACAAAAACACACTATCCTTATCCCGCTGTTTCCCGGGAGGTTTAGAGCCTGCCCTAAGAAACGATGTGCAGAACGCGTATTTTCGCAGATGTGTCTATTCAAAGGTAGGGGGAACATGCAGCCATGAGGCATGCCAACCGCGGAGATAGGAGCAAGTAGTGTCCGGGGAGGAGCCACGGCCACACAGCTCTCTACCTTGTCGTCTCTCCCTCTGGACAGCAGATTCAGCCGTGAGTGGAATCTCAGTGCAGAACTTTCCAAAACGCTCTGTCCCCTGCCTGCCCCTCAGAACGACCCAGAAACTCCAGCTTCCTGCTTTCTGGGATGCACTAAGCCTGCTCTGCCAGCAGAGGGCCAGCTTTGAGCTAGCAGTTTTTATTAGCTGCTGGCCTGTTTTCATGATCTTCAGTTTTAATGTTTAGCAGCTGGGCTTGGTAATGGGAATGGAAATAAAAAGGAAAAGCTGAACAGTTGCTTTTTGTGCTTTGTGGAAAGCAAACGGCAGCCTACGTGGCCAAGCGTAGCTGTTGACCTCTGATACCTGGTGGCATGGGACGACTTTTAAGGGAGGGCACATCTTGCACTGACTTTGCCTCTCTTCTCTACTTATTTTTAAACAACTGGACTACAGAAATTTAGTACATGATTTCGCACCCAAATAATTTTCTACTGCAATGGATTCTCTTTTATTACTTTCTTCCTTTGGTTCTAGCAGATGCCTCCGACTTACATGCTTTGGTTTATTGCCTAGTGTCTTCCTTTCTTGCCTTCAGCACTTAATGCTTATTGTTCCCTGATTTTTTGAAGGTTTTTACTTCACTGCTATCATAGTGTTTCTTAAAAGAACATAATCATCTATTGCAAATTTCTGTGGGTCTCTCTCTCTCTGTGATTTCTACACATCTTTTCTTCTTGGGCTTACTCTTGTGTTCTCGTCTTAATAAAAACTTACCTGTCAGTACTTTGAGGAAGAGGCCAGGTGTCACTTACTGGAAGCCCATGCCTTCAACCCTATGGAAATTTACGATGTTTGACGTTTCATTTGGTCCTGCATTTTGGTTTTAAAAAATCAGAATTTTAAAAAGTTTATGAATATTTTCCTTTGCTGGCAAACTGACTCAGGGCCTCACTTATGTTAAGTAAGAGCTTTACCACTGAGCTACACAACTAGCCTTAGAATTCCTAATCATAGGGCCAAGGAGACAGCTAGGCAGTCTAGGTGCCTGTCTGGCAAGTCTCAAGGTCCCGGCTCGATCCTGGTACCCCGTGCTGTGCTGCCACTGAAACCGGGTGTGATACCAGCTCTGGGGAGGCTGGGACGGGAGAATCACTCCGGGTCTGAGCTGCGTAGTGAGACTCTACACCAAATAAAGAAATGGTTATAAAGATTAAAAAAAATGGGGCTGGGGAGATAGCTCAGTAGAATAAGCACGTGCCTGGCAAGCGCAGGGTCCTGAGTTCAATCCCTGGTACTGAAAAAAAACAAAACAAAGATTTAAAAAAGTAATGAGACAGAATTCCTAAGTATAGTCATTCTTTGGTTTCTTTCTTAGTGCTGTCTGGGAAGTCATTGGCTGGGAATGTAGTTCTCAATCCATCAGATGTGCAGAATGCACGAAACCTCACATAATATCAGTGCCTATCAGCCTCGGAAAGCTTATGCAAATGTGTGTGCCTGGATAAAATTATCTCTCGTCTATTTCTCTTTTTTTTCTCTAGTCTATTTCTAAATCTTGAATAAAGTCAGATAAGGAGAGAAAACCTGGTAGGCAAAGCAAAGAGATTGAGACGCCTGGGTCCACCTTCACATTTTCCACAGCTCGAAGAAGAATGATCTCCTTCCTGTAGGACATCAGTTTTGTTGTGACAGGTCTCTGATTGCACCAGGGGACGTTAGGAAGTGATATGCCAGTGACAGCACTCAAGTTTGGCACGTTGGTGAAAACTCATTTTATGTAAGTGAGGCAATATTGTCTCCCTCATAACTACTTCATAGGCCTACTTGAAAAGTAAAAATAATTATTTGAATATTGAGTTATTTTGCCTTTTTGGAAGAGAGATGATATGGAAAATGAAGGTGCTATTCACTATGGTTGAATTATAGCTTCTATGAATCTGATTTGAATTCATTATTACAAATGGGCCCTCTTGGCCAGAGTCATTTCATTACAATTATCTGCTACTTGGTTAAGAATGTTCTGTGCCTTTCCATAAGATTAGATGTGACAAGTATCCAGAAGCCCGATGTCTGAATCAGTGTGCACAAGGGGACTAGAGCCCATGACTGTGGACATGGCCTGTTGGCTTCTGGTAAGCCCTCGGGCTGCGCAGATGCCCAGCTGTACCTTCTCTATGCGCTCTGCCAACCCTAGATTTGCTTTAGTCTCTCTGTGGGGCCTCATCATGCATGCATATGGTCATTTCAATGGGTGCCATAGAGTAGCTGCTGTGGTTGCTGCTGTAACCGATTTCGTTAGTGGGAAAGATTCCCACCAGCCTACAGGTCTGTTTTGTTGTTGTTGTTGTTGGTGGTGGTGGTGGTGGCGGTTTTTCCCCAACAGCGGTATGGTCAGTCTGGCTGATTGCTGATCTGGGATTACACTTAATGGTTCTTTTCAAAGCTGTCCTCACACTCAGATTGGAGTTCTTGAAGTTCTAGGCTAATCCATTTAGAATCAAGTACTCGTGAGGCTTAGCTAGCCCCAAGGAACAATATATACAGTGGGGATTTCGCCGAAGAACGCGGGACAGTGGATTTCCCATGAATAGCACTCTGTTGCTTGCCCAGGTGTTTCTCCGCATTTGCACTCTCTACCAGCAGCTTTCTCTTTTGCATAAATTAGGAAATTCGGAGCACCCCTTAAGTTATTCTAAGCATGCCCAGGATTTTTGTGTTTCGGTGTTTAGGGTGCCAAAGCTGCGTAGGACTGTTGCCGTGTGCAGGTAGTGCTCTTGGGCTGGGGACGTGGAGATCCAAGGAGCAGGGGCCAGGCTCAGGGCCAGGAGGGGTTGCTGTTGGAGCACCTAGGATGGTTTTGAGAATTCCACTTGGGCTTGGTCAGTGGAAGAGGGCAGGCTTAGTTTTAAGGTTCTGGGTTAGTGCCTAGCACCAAAACAAACACAAAAATAAACTCCAAAAATAAAAAGTTAACATCAGGCTGGCAGACTGAGGAAGTCAGCATCTCTGAAGTTGAGCACCACGTGGGCACTTAGTGTTTCTTCCAGCATTTCTAACCTGGAGCCCACATTAGGAAGCGCTGCTCTGGAGGCTGTCTGCCCGAGAGCGTCTGAGCCTGAGCAAGGCTGATCTCCACCTCTCTCTGTCCGCCCTCCCTTGACATTGCTCTGGATGGCAGCTGGTGATTGTCAACTGGATGGGCTGCAGAAGCACCCACAAGATTCGCAGAGCATGTGTGGATGTTCGCGTGAGTCACGCGGCGTGGCTGTGGGAAATCCATGAGGGGCTCTTCCTTTCCAGTCTGATTCCTCTGTTGTGAAGCCTGCAGCCTTTCTGTACCTGCCGTCTACCGTGGTGCTTCTTCCTGCCTTGGAACAGGCTGCAGTGGACTGAAACTCCTCTCTCTGTGTGTGAGCCCTGGGGCACCGCTCTACCTCTGCGTCGCATCGACAGCTCCTCCGGATGCGCATGCACCTCAGGGCTGCTTTAGGGCCCTGGCATGCTCAGAGCCTGGATCATGGCT